AATAACGATCTTCTGTTATTCATCTGTCTTCCAAAAGATACGATTCGGTCTTTCATCTTCATCATGAGCAATTTCTTTCGATGATTCCACATGACAACGAATCTTGTTTATCTATGCAGGTGAAAATTTTCTCTTCACATCCTTGTTCAGAGCACAGGCTAGCAGAAGCGTGAAAACAATGATAGCAGAGGCTTTTTATCTCGTTGTTCTGACAGTGATCGGTCTCAGTATCAAATACCACTAGGATGGCGAAACTGGTCTTTCTTTGGTTATTTACGTTCATTTTTACGCAGAGCTCCTTTTTTCGGATACGTAAAAATGACATCAGCGACCGATCCGGAAGTCTTGAAGTATAAGATTGCTCATGAATATGGTGCTTCGATTTATCGATTCCGTGTGGACGTCTCATTGAAATTCCCGTGCGAATTCAATCGCAGATACACTGGAACAACTGTGGTCTGAAGAAGGGACTCTCTCTTATGGTAATCAAGTATCCGCTAGATCTGATATTTTGTCAACGGACAACGAAAGATGATCGATCAGAAAGAATCTACACCCGACTGTTTTTCTGATCCAAAATAAACGTGAGCCATCGGTAGGCGTATTCTTTGTCTATTGTTGGCAGATGCAAGTCGGATACGGCTGCTTGATATTCGGCATTCGACACTGGACCTTCACTTTCTCCTGCACCGAACTGTTCGATGAAGAAACACTTCTTCACACATTCATATTCACACTTCTGATCACACCATCTGTTCACTTGCACTTCCCATTCATCGTTGTCGACCTTTCTCATCTTCATGTCACACCGATGTAATCCTTCGATCACTGCATCCATCTGCATTCGATTCTTCGGATGGATCAGATGATAAACATGTTCAGCAGAATGATTGGGCAACCGGCTGAGATGAACAAGACTTCTTGCGGTCAGATCAACAAGCAACACCATTCGACAGCCTTGGAGTATTTGAGGATAACAGTGCATTCCCAGCATCGCCGCGAACAGCAGAGTGTAGAGATCCTTGGGATTGGCGACACCCGTTCGAGAATGAGGACCGATGAGGCCAAGACGATAAATCTTCGCCGAAAGACCCGCCTTGATCGCTTGATTGATCAGACATTCAGCCATCCATTTCGTTTGTGCATAACCATTACTCTTCGATGATGAAAGGACACTCAAAGTGGAGATGAAATGGACAGGAATCGATCTCGATGGATGCGATGTGGCAAGACGAAGAACTTCTCTTGTGCCAAAGACATTGTCCTTTGCTAGTTGATGAGCAGAGAGAATGAAATTAACATTGGCAGCACAATGAAAGATCAGATCAACTTGATCGACCAACGACTGAAACACTTGTTCGTCAAGTCCAAAAGTAGATTTAGATAGATCACCACACGGAGCAATGAGACGATATTCATCATTTTCATTCCAAATCAGATAGGAGATCATTGTTTGTCGAAGACGTTGAAGAGGATCGATTGACGAAGCACATCGAACAAGACAAATCATTCGACAATGAGATGG